TCGGGGTGTTACAAATGGTATCAGAGCAACCCTGCGACTGTGACGGGCCATAAGAGCTTAGTTCACCTAGCGGGGAAGATCTATGGGTTCAAAAAAAAAGGATGCAACGAGGACGTTGCATTCCTAAGTGGGGGTGAGTGTAATACCCCGTATCAAGATGGGAATGGGAAGAGCTCAAAAGAATTGATAGTACTACTCATACCAACAAGGTGCATCTTCTTTTCGAGAGCTCATCACCTAGAAACTTCAAAGTTAAGCGCGCTTGACCTGGAGCAATTTTAGGATGGGTGACCCCCTGGAAAGTTTCCTTGGGCGCGCACGAGTGAGGACAAAGTGCGCAGGAAAGACATGTGTTGGTTTGTGGGGCTAGTTTACAATCCTATGAGCGGACACTTACGGCCAGGGTGGGGGCCAGGGTGTTACAATCTTACCCGGAGCAATTGTGCACTTGTTGGTGTCCTTCTTGGGAGCCATTTGGGGATGAAATCTTGGAGTTTGGATGGAGAAGGAGAGCCGAAAATAGAGTTGCAGTCGTCGGAAGAAGGAGAGGGGATGAGCCGCGGTCGAGTGGAACAAAAGAAAGCGGGTTTTGACCTTTTAAATACCCATCGACTGTTGAGCTAATGGACCGTTGCCTTTGGACGGTCGACCGTTCAATTGGCAGTCTTCTGGACCAGGTAGTGACGGTTGATGCGTTGGACCGTCCAAGTCCCACGGGCGACCGTTATTATGACAGATTTTGGGATCTAGAGTTATTTGCTACAGACGGTCTATGTGGTGGACCGTTGTGTTTCCACGGCCGATCGTTTGTGTCCCAGTGCGAGGTCAAATTTTAAATGCTACAGACGGATGATACGATGAACCGTTGGCCTTCCGCGGTCGACCGTTTGCTTTCCAGCTTCCTTAGAACTTTTAATTCCTTTAATCCTCTTATTGTAAATTTTGTGATGATGATGATGAAGACATTGACAACATAACAAATGTTGATGACTATTACTATTATTAAATTTCATTTACTCTTATTTTGCACAAAATGTTAAAACTTTGGTACTTTTTGATGACTTTGTGCTTAATGTGAAATTGCCTTCATTGACTATTTTGAATATTTTTAGATTTGGTATGAAACTCATTAACAGGTTCTGCTGGAGTGCATGAAATCTAAGAATCATGAAAAAGGAAATTCTTAGCCTTGGTATGCTAAGAGAAAAGTTAAATATGGCACAAGTATTGAAAAAGACATGTAATTGATTTATTTTGTTTTACCTCTATTTTGATGGAATTCCTTTACCAAGGGGAGTAAAATGTTATCAAATTAGAAGAAATTTTTTTTTTATAATATTCATCATTCAATTTTTACTTGAATCCATTTGATAGGGGGAGAACTTTTGAAGAAACTTCACACTTTTTTATCAAAATTTCATTCAATCCTTTTTGTTCTTGACAAATAGGGGAAAAAATATGTGTACTTCAAAGTAAATTTTTTTTCTCAAAGTTTTTATGTGTTTTATACATATTAATTGATCATCAATTCTTCATAAACACATCCGGATGTACCATATACCAACTTTTGAGAAAACAATTTAGTGCCATTTATTATTATTACTCCGTATTTTGTTTTAAGAATTTAACTTGGGAGAGAAGGAGGGTTAGGGTTTCAAGCCAGAAGGAGGGGAGGGACGAAGAGAGAGAGAGAGAGAAGGATTGAGAAAACGAGAGAAGAGACAGTGGAAGGAAATCGGGAGTCGTGGGTGGGAAAGGATAAGATTCTGGTGCAAACACGGGGCGAACGTAGAACTTCAGATTTCTGGATAGTGGATCTGAGAGAATTCATACACACGCTCTGTAACGCCCTAGAAACGGGTTTAGAAATTTTAACTTTCTAGTACAAAGAAATAAAATATATATATATATATATATAAAATTTATATATATATATATATATATATATATATATATATATGATAAAATGTTACTATTCTTTGGAAAAAAAATCATTCTAATGAAATAAATTTGTTTTCTTGACAAACAAATTTTGTTAAAATGATGTGTGAAAAATATGGAACTTAACGCTATAAGTTTTATATTTTTTTCCAAGAATTATTTAATAATCAAAACTGTGGAAATCGGACACGTAGTATTAAACCAACGGAGGAAGACACCTTTTGCTTTCCCCTTGTTGGCCACGCCTAGGATCCTCCTCCCCAACCCATTCATTGCATCTCTCATTTAAGAGAGACTTTATGTTTAAAATATATTTTTTTTTAAAAAAAAAACCATCCACATAGCCTATTCTACCTATAAATAGAGGCCTAGGGTGACCACTTTAGGGCACTTGATCTAGAGAGTGTTGGGAGGACAACGAAGCGTGAGAGCGAGGCCTTCCGAAGATCTGTTCATCTACCTTTCCGTTAACAACATCGAAGGTGTGCCGTTGACCCTAACCTTTAGCCGTATATTACATGTTCATATATTTTTGTGCATTCTTTTTTTGTATATATATCAATAGTGATTCAGATTTCAAAGAAAGAAAAAATAAATAATAATGAAATAACATGCAAATTGTGTATCATCTATATCCACGCCATATTTGTACATCCCTAATTTTCTAAAAGTATATATATATTTTGTTTATAGTACAGTAAACCTTCGGCACTAGTAAAAAAAAAAAAAAAATTCTCCTTATATGAAATCTAAACACACACGCACACATATACTGTATATAGTATATACGCATATGCCAATGTTTAAAGAAACAAATTCGAAATTGCTATTGTGTGTGTAAATCATTGTTTTTCTTTTGTGTTTTCTTTCCTTTTGAAATGTACCCATACACATAGATGAGTACTTTAAAAGTCTGGATGTTTTGTTACTAAAAAAAAAGGTCAAATGAATGAAAACCAGTATATTGCTTTGGAATTTATAAATGAATAAAAAGCTGATATTTACTTCTGCAAATTAAATGTTTGTAATGTTTAACAGGAATGAGTTGCTACCTACATGTTTGAATTCAGAAAAAAAATGTTTTTACAAATACCTTGAAAATCGATACAACTTGTATGCTAAATTTATGTACAAGTACCGAACAATGGGTTTTGCTTGTATTAAATGGGGACCTAAAGAAATGAATCGGTAATGATTCATCCTTTTAAGACATTAAAAGTAGTTTATTCAAAAGATCATTCTATGGTTAACCAGACAGTTAGGACGAAGAAAAAAAGAATTTCAATATCGATTTGAACGACGTACCCTGACCAGGTACTGTCACGTTTTACTAAGTGGGTCAACCACTTTCAAGGCCGGACCGTGTCCATGTGGATGAGCCTATAAA